GTGGCATATAAAGCTCCATGAATTGAACAATCAAAATTGTTCCAACCCATGAAAAAAGTGAAGCCGTTCCCTAAGCAACTAGTGACTTTAAGGGTATTATTTTCAACTGCAAGATGTGAACAATATTGGAGGAGCCAGGACCCTAAATTAGAGAGCGCAATATGTGAGTGTCATGTTTCGACATAATTAATAACACTGTTTGATACACATTTTTGTTACATGTATCATTAAATCTAATTTTGTGACTTTAGTTTAGCAATAAGATCGTTCTATTTATTTGAGTCAAGAACATAAAAATTTTAGAAAAAAATTTTAAAATATTTCTTATTAGCCTTAACAGACATTTTCCAACATTTTTGTCATCTCAAATAGTTCACATAAAAAAATTGCTATAGTCAAGTAAAATTTTCAAATAACTTTCAATGCAAATGGATCAATGCTTATATAACTTAAAGTAGATCCAAGAGTCCAACAAAAGATAATTATTATGATATCTGAATAGCTTAGGGGGCAATGCAACTATAAACGGTAATTTTACAAAATCTGGGGGAGGAGGGAGGGCAAATATAATATAATTTAAAATCTTCACAATTTTCCTAAGTCTGTCGTGATTTTTACCAAAGTTAAGGGGGTGTAATTACCCACCTTCAACTATATATGGCTCCGTTGGGTGTGAATGCCTGGACTAGCAGAACAAATATTATCCCTCTGGATTACCTATTTACCTTTATCTAAAATTTTTTAAACTCATAAATTCATCCAATTGTGTCATTATTTTTCTCTTGATCTCTAGATTAACACACTAAAAATGGTATTCTTTTTGTGAATACCTTGGTATTCAATTTTCTCGAAACATTTGAAGAATGAAAAATGAATCAAAATTGTAATAAAATTTGTAAGTATCAATCAGAGGGTGAAACTTAGTCAATTTCACACGAAATTTTATATATAACTAATATAACTTATAAAATAAACTATGAATGGTGTTGATTTTTGAAATAATTTTTATATTAATATTATTGGAGTATAATGAAGAGAAATTCTCTCCAACACTAAGAGCACATGTTAATTCCATCAAGGCTATTTAGTTTTTATTATTTTTTGAGCCAACACTATTTAATCTTATTCTTAGTAGAGCATTACATATATTTGTTAATGACACACACTTGAGTAGATTCTGTTTACGTAGATTTAGTAGTTCAAAATTTGTCACGCCATCTCATTAATTCAAGTATTGAAGATGTGGCAAAATTTGGACTACCAGATCTACAAGTTTGTGTCTATCCAAAATTTTGCCTTTATCAAGTGGTTATGTACTCCTTTTTTTTTCTTTTGAAAAAAGAGGGGCGTCAGTCCCTTATTTTATTAACCCACAGGTAAAAAGTACACCGAGCTCATGAAATGCCAAAAACCTCAAAGTCGGAGAAAGGAAAAAATCTAACTATACGAGAAAGGAAAAAAATCTAGCTATATGCTTTTAAAAGCCCTAATGTGCGGAAACGAACGGAGGTCCGTTCCAAAAGCAGCGCGAACACTTCACGGGAGATCTCTCAAAGAATAAAAAAACGCATCCCCTCAAAACCTCAAAGAAGCAAGAGCATCAGCTACTGTATTCGCTTCCCTAAATACATGGGAAAGATCAACCTGTAAATCGCCAAGGATCTGCTTTATGCTTCTCAATGTATTAGACAGGGACCACTTTACGACCCATCTCCACGAAAACTGAAGAGTCAGTTTCTGCAAGAAAAGAGCGATAACCCTGATTCCATTCTCACTTGCATTATATGCTTATATCAAGTGGCTATCTATTCTTGAATTTTGTGAGGCTACATAATTTGTGCAAAACAAACATGGGGTTGGTTTGGAAATTTTTTTTTTCAAATATTATTCTACTTATATATTATAAATATAATTTTCAATCACTTTTTTATCCCATATATATCATATCACGAAAAATACTACAATGTTTAGTTAAATAATTTTTACAAATAATCTCCTATCCAAATGCACCCATAGATAAGCACATCCTCAAACCTTTTTTGTATGCGTATTATGTTCTCTTTTAAATCTTACTTTGTTCTATTTTTTTTTTCTTCTTTTTTTTTTACGTCTTTTTTTTTTCTTCAGGCTTTTTACTTGTGACTGTTAATATGAACTTAATACTTGTTTTGTACAAAGGGAACGCTATTGAAAGAGTATCCATCCGCAATACAGAGAGATGCCATGATGGATTAATTGGGATGCTGAAGTAGTTGATGAACCTCACATTCAGGACAATCCTCCCTCCTGTTTCCTAATTAAAGCTAATGTTATAATGATTGTTGTAATTTGCGGGATTGTTGGGTTTCAATGGAATTTCTTTTGCTTCTTCTCGTGTGGTTTGATTTTTGACGACATTTGTGTCATTTTGCATGTAATATCTTACATCATGCTGCAATTGTTGTTGTAGCATAATAAATTGCCAGATTTTGCTTTTCATCCTCCTGCCATTTCTCAAATTACTGGTCGAGACAAAGATTCTCCTGAATTGTCTTGTCTTGGCCGAATACCTGGGCATCAAGGGTGATGTAAACAAAAAGAAAGAAACATAACTGGCTTGTAAGACAAAATTCCAGCCCTGCTTCAATATAAGGGCAAATTACTTTTTAATTTCCTAGTTTGATGTTTTATCATGGAACTCCTCTATGTTTTAAAAACTTACATATAACATTTTCATGGTTTGAATTAAAGTGTTACCGTTTAGTTTCTCCATTGCAACTAATGGTAAATAGTACATGTCAAAGTCAAACTAATGAATTGATAAATTCATTCTTTCACTGCTTTTTTTTTTCTTTTTCCTTTTCTTTCTCCCTCTCTCTTTTTTGGGGAAGAGAAGAGATGATTTTGAAAACCTATACTTTGGCCTTTAAAATCTCAATTTTCCCCAAATACAATAGAGATGGAAGGAAATAAAAAATAAATAAATAAGAAACAAAAAAGATGAAAGGAAAATATAAACAAATAAATAAGAAACAAAAACTACCAAATCTTTTTTGACTACAAGTATCATTATAAGTTTTTAAACCAAATCTTTAATGGTGTTTTTATTTCTTATTTATCAATTTTTTTATTTCAATTTCTTCTTTTTCTATGTTTGGAGCAAAAGAAAAAGAAGCAATAAGACAATAAATTTATCAATTTATTAGTTTGATTTTTGACTTTTTACTATTGATTGTTAGTTTTAACAAAAAAAAATTAATGGTGATACTTTAATTCAAACCATAAAAAGGGCCATGTATAGGTTTTAAAATCACGGGAGATTATGTGGTAAAATAGTAAACTACAAGAGGTAAAAGATAATTTATCCTTAATATAATCATTTCCTTATGAGGAATGCCCAAATTTTGTACTTAAAAACACATTGTTCAGCACATGGACTAGATTTTACCACAGCCTACCGCTCCATTTACATTTATGTTGAGAAATGGTATTAGATTGATAGACATAAACTTGACAACTCATCTGAAGCTTTTGGGTTTAAGGGCCTCAAAAGATCAACTCTTACATAGTATGGTATGTTAGAGCATGTTATAGCATGAAAGACCAATTAAATCATGTGGGACTTTTGGGTTTTAAGGGCCTCAAAAGTGTGTAGTTTAATCTCAACCAATTAACTTATCCTGTTTGGATTGTTATTTTTAAGAGTTTTTATAAAAAAAAATATTGTACCGATTTAATGTATGTGAGATAAGAAAAAGTTATTGAAAAATATATTAAAAAAATGTAAAATTCTTTTTTTTTTTTTTTAGAAAACTACAATCCAAACAAGGTCAACTTTTAACAAAAGAGAAACCATGATAAATAAAGAAAGAAATAACTGTTCTGAGTGTTAAATCAAACACGACAATGAGAGGATATGTGCAGGAGTACTAGCGCTCAAGTAACTTACACACACTGACTTGATTGTATCATCAACATATTTTTCAATCACATTTTTATCTCACATACATCATATCAAAAAAATGTTACAGTATTTTTTTACAAAATTATCTCAAATAATTTACTATCTAAACACTTTAGACGCAATTCTCCATTTGCCTAATTGAATTAGTAGTGTTTTGGTCATGTTAATTTGCTTTTATGCACCAAATTTGGCAAAGATTTCTCAATGCATTGCTGTACGTTTTACTTAATTAGTTGTTATTGCTGTATTCTGATGTTTTGGTCTGTTGTCATAAAACTTGATTCGGATGTGGATTTGATTTTGGAGCAAGATAAATTACTTTAATCCTTTTGGTCCTTCGTTGCAAAGCAATATAATTACTCATGCTTATCCTTGTCATTGCATTGCGCCTTGAGATTTTGATTCAATGATTAAAGTTTAAGGCCGTAGACATAAAAGATCCTGAGTTAGAGCGTCACTGGATGTGAATATCTAATTTCTTCTTCCATTACTTGTATGTTTATTTATGCTATTATTTAGTTACGTATTACTCCAATGGTTATATGTTACTTTTAATCTTGTTATAAAAAAATGCACAAACTACCAAGCCTCTTTTCTAAAGACCAAGGAAGGAAGAAATGCTTCTATTGCTTTTGCTTTCATGTCCATAGAGCTTTTGCTTTCATGTCTCTAATTTGCTATTTTGCTTTCATAATGGTTTGCTTTCATCTCATGTCCATGGTGCTTTTGCCCTTTTTTTTAATTTATTTTTTATTTTTTAGGACATAGCGCTTTTGCTTTCATGCACCGTGTCGTGGGGACCGAACGAAATAATGCACCGTGTTGTGGGGGCCGAACGAGCTGGCCAGCTCCTTGAAAATTCGAATGAGCTTGTCCGTGGAGAAATCCAATAGCATACAAAGTTTACAGACTTCCAATGTCCAGATGTGAAAGCCTTCTAACATTTGCCAATATCTGATTCAGATAAATTGCTCCCCTTGCTGTGTAAAAATAGAACCATCATCTTTTGCTAGTGAATTCCATCCATTATAGAAAATATACATCAATCTCATCCAAAATGGAAGAAGCAATCCTATCCTCTGCAGTAAAGAGTATAGGTAAATTGCTTATTGACGAAGGAAACTTTCTACAAGGCGTTAGCGGGCAAGTCAGGCTGCTTCATGACGATCTCAAACGGATACAAAGGTTCTTAAGATATGCTGACACGAAACAGACTGCAAGGGACGCTGTACAACAGTGGCTTCCGGAGTTTAGAGCCGTCGCTTATGAAGCAAGTGATCTGGTTGAAGATTATGCTTTGAGGGTTCAAATCCGAAGGAACGGAGGCTTTACAAGTACTCTAAAGAGGATTGCTTGTATACCCGCAGAAGGTTATACCCGTCATGATTTGGGTTTAGAGATTCAAAGTCTCAGAACTAGGATCTCTAATCTCACCAAAAATTTTGGCGAGTATGGAAATGTAATGGCCAGATTGGAGGAAGGAGAGTCGAGTGCTCCATCCAGGCTGCAGCAATTAAGGCGGACTCACTCCTTTGTGGCTGAGGAGGATGCGGTTGGACTGCATTACGATATTGAGATGCTGGTTAAATATTTGCTGAATGAGGTTGAAAGGGAGCACAAAATAAGTGTGGCTTCGATTTTTGGCATGGGAGGTATAGGCAAAACCACTCTTGCTAGAAAGGTATATCACCATGGAAGGTTGAAGCATTATTTTAAAGGTTTTGCTTGGGTTTGTGTGTCACAACAATGGCAACCAAAAGATCTCTTGCAAGGCATTCTACTCAAGCTTATTCCTGAACAAAGAAATCTGATTATGACGAGCAAACAAGATGAGCTAGCGAGGCTGCTTCAACAGCACTTGCGAGCTAGGAGATGTTTGATAGTCCTTGACGACATATGGTCAACAGATGCTTGGGATTGCCTAAAAGATGCAATCCCAGTTTCGGAGCATGGGACCAAAATTTTGCTCATGACAGGTGCCGAACCTGTGCAATAATAATAAATGAATCCTAACTACCACCTGAAACAGTCAGTAATCAATTCGAGTACTGGAGCAGGGACTCTAGGTGTGCAATGGGTTACTTGATTCACCCTGTTCCCGAAGAGTTTGCTTAATCCGATATACCTGAATTAATTATTTAACTGAATTCCCTAACTAGTAGACAGTGATAAGCAGGGTCGTCTCCTCAGGGACTGGAGAGATATTTGTTTCTTTTCAAATCAAGATCAATGGGGGGGGTTTTGGTATCAAAAGCCAACTGAACAAATTAAATGCAGAAACTAATTAATTAAAAACAATAATTGGAGAAGCTCTAGCCAAGGGTACACTTTAGAAATGGTTCACGCAACTGATCATCGATTCACAAATAATTCCAACTTTTATTAATAGATTGGTTATAGCTGTCTCGCACGCGCTAAACAACCAACCCTTCCTTAATTTCTCGATAGCCAAGGTACGACCGTTAGCTATTTCTCTAACCCAAAAATAACCCTAGGTACGACCGTAAGATTTAATTTCTAGATTGCAGTAATAATTAGAAAGGCCCAATCCTAACCAATAAACACGCTACGAGGGTTTATTTAAGCTAGATCGTATGTTCCCCTGACATAAACCCAATTACGCCAGTTGCTACAAAGACAGAGATAACGAACAATTACGGATTCAGTTACCTCTATTTAGCAAAATAGCCTATATGAATAATTAAATATTGCGCATCTATTCAATCACTCACACGAGCTATAGCGGTTAAAAGCAGGAAACATATGAATACCAATAAATGCAGGAAACAATTAAAAGCGGTTTAGATCTCACAGTAGTGGTGAACCCATTCGTCAGTTGTCCCCTTGACTAGATGGAGGATTTAGCCACGCCGCATAATTAAATCACCACACGAATTAATAGATTGCAAAAGCATTGCGTTTTCTATTAAGAAGCAGGGAAAAAAAGGTGCTTTTCCCGTTGGGGAATATTGTCGAACACCTGGCGTGTGTCAGAGGCCAGTCCGAAGAAAAGAAAAAGAGAGACTAAAGACTAGGCTAAAAACTAAACTAAAACTAGGAATCCCCTTTTGCTTCCTGTACGTTCCCCCTTTAAGAGACAAAAGAAAGATAGACTAAAGCTATCTAGGTGGTCCCCACACATGTGGACAAAACCTCCTCAAGTACTTCCTCTTCCAAGTCCACTTCCGTAGCTTTCTTTGGAGAGTCCACATGACTTATGGCTTTACGGTCCCCACCAATCCAAAGGCCCAAGGATTGAAGTCCTTAGAAGTCTCCATATTCTTCATAAAGTCCCTCTTTTTTTTGGTAGTTTGCTGCTTCCTCCTGAAATTAAGTCCATATACCAAATATGAGCAGATAACAGCAATTAACACAATATTTATCAGGGATAAAAGGGGAAATTAATAATAAAATGACTAACAAATTACACCCTATCAATTCCCCCCACACCTGAATCATGCTTGCCCTCAAGCATAATTAACTCAGAAGTACAATCGAGATGCTAAGCAAATCACAGCAGTTCATACCAAGAATGGCATTTCAAGCTCCCCAATAACCTTATCAAAATCAAAATATACCAAATCAACAATTCTCGCTATTTAGAGTGCACTCATTCGCTCCAAAGTGTATATGAAATGTATATAAGATGGCTCTCAAAACAACACAGTAGAATGACACCACCATACGCTTGCTCATATATCATATCTCCACCACTTACTCATGAATTTAAATGCAGCAATCAAGGGACTTGCAAGGTTGTAGTGGGGCTAGGGTGAAAAGGTAGGATTGAAAGGGGTCAAAAAGGTGCATAAGTGTAAAGAAAGTGCCCAAAAATTCATTACATAGATTCTTGCACCTTTGAAATTTAAAGGCATCTCAACCATCACACAAGTGAAGTGAATTAGCACTTGCCACAACCTTCGCCTTTTCTCCTTTTGCATTCATCTACTTCCCCTCTTTTTCTTTTTTTTTTTTTTTTTTTTTTTTTTTTTTTTTTTTTTTTTTTTTTTTCAATACTCCCAACCAGCACCCTAAAGGTCAACTTTACTTGCTGGTTTCCTGCACTCTTTTTTTTTTCTCTTTTCACATCCCCTTTTTTTCTGTTTTCTTTTTTTTCTTGTTTTATTCACAGATAGGTACGATGCCCCTCTAGAAATACTCCAAAATTCTGTATAATGAAATCAAAGCACTTCTTCACACAAGGTTCGAAAAGAAAGTCTAAAGAGAGGTTTTTCGGCTAGGAGCTGGGGTTTCAAGCAAAGAATAGGATGTAAAGCTCAACTTGGCTCCCTAATGGTAATATAATCCAAGGGTGAGTTTGAGAAAGTCCAAAACGGCTCATTCCTAGGTGCCCTATCATTTCAATGCATTAAATTCATTTAAATGTGATTTCGACATGCACAACCGAGCAAGTTCTAGAATGACAAACCCTGTGCACTAACCACTCAAAGAAACGAAAAATTAGGCTCAAAAATCGCACGAGTGGTCAAATTTATGTCAAGTTCAGCATATTCATCAATCAATTCGTTATCGAGGAAAATATAACACCCCATGGCATGAACTTGCTACGTACACTCATATCTTAATTGCAATCATCACAGTTTAAAGAACGGACAACTATTAAGGCAAGGAAAAACTCAAGCAGACAATCTAAAAAAAAAAACACCTCTAAAGCATAGTTAACCCTCCCCCACACCTAAACCTGACATTGCCCTCAATGTAAGCAAAGTAAGACCAAATTAGAGGTATTGGGGCAACAACACTTCCCTTAAAACGGAGGAGGGCAGAAATGAATCACGGCTGCGGAGGAAAAGGCGGGCGGAAGCCCACGTGATGGAGATACTGCGCTATATTCTGGGCCACCCCGCCCATTTGCCGCTCCATCCGATCCATACGAGTGTCCATGTGCTGCATCTGGAACCGGAGGGCTGCAAGCTGGCTATCGACGGAGGAAGATGGTGGAGGTGCCGAAGAAGATGGCCCGGGGGCATCCGTGGACGGACCACCAGCCTCAGTCGCAGAGGATTTGGAAGCTTTGCGCCTCGGAGGAACGGAGATTGGCCCCGGCGGAGCAAACTGGAAAGCGCCATTCACCTGTCGCACAAGACCCATTTTCTCCAAACAAACCAAATCAAGGGGCTCCATAATACAAGCACGATGCAAGTTATGATTATTCAAGTCCAAAACCCCAAGGTTTACAGCTAACTGAGTAATAAAGGAGCCTAAGATTAATGGCTTATTTTTCTTACTTAACACAGTTCGGAGGTGGAGGGCGAACCAGCTACCCAAATTGACCCTAGTCCGAGTGACCATGCACCAAACGAAAAAGAACTCGGGCTTGGTCAGAGTACCGGAGCTATCCTTCCTACCTGAGAAACTATAAGCCATAAATCTATGCAAATAACGATAGGCGGCGCTCTTAAGATAAGAGGCCTTAGACTGACTGGGGTCATAGCATTGCTGGTCAACTGACAAACCACTCCAATAATCAAGGTAATGAGAGAAAAATGGCTCTATATATTCGCACGCACTGTGCATATACTCCTCACTCTGGGAGTAAGGAATATCAATAAACCCAAGAGCCAAATTAAACTCAGTGATAGATTGGTTGAACTCTCTACCCATTAAGCGAAACCTTACTACCCCAGGAGTGGTAACGGAGAATCCATCAGGGATATTCAATTCGAAGGTAGCATAGAATTCCCACGTGAGTTCAGTAAAAGCAGGTTGATTTATAGAAGCATAGCGGGCCCAACCTACATTAGTCAAGTGCTGTGCTACCTCATCCCTCAGGTTTAGCAAATCCAGTGTAGGGCCATGGAGGTATTTACAAGGAATTATCTTCCTTGTGCAAGCCGAAGCGTACCGCTCCTTGTCGGCAGCCCGGGTGAAGGTTAAATGACCCCCAAAATGGGCCGGAGAGGAGATATGAATCTCCCTATTCCGTCCAAGGCGGGTACGAAGCCCTCCAGGCCCAGTCGATGGGGCAGGTCCCTCTAAGGGAACCGTAGGCTGAGGGGTTGAAGTGGAAGGCTTGTTCTTGCCTTTGGTTTTTGGTTTAGTCATTGGGGATTGGAAAGAGAGCAAAGTCAAGGTGAAGATGGGTAAAATGGAGCGGTGGTTAATCAACAAAGCAAAGGGTCCCCAAACACAGCTCTAACACCAACAATTGCACAAATAGAAACTAACCAACCCAAGAATCAATTAAGTTGATAAATAATAAGATCTTCACCCAAAAACCAATTAAACATGGAAACCACGAAAACTTCCCCTAATGTTACCAAATAGCCCCCAAAATTACTTAATTAAACACACGCAGCAAATTTCCCCCAAAACTATTTAAACAGGCAACCAGGGTAAGAATGGCCCTCAACTATCACCGAGTGAGCACAAAATTGAACAACAATTCAACATTCAGCTACAAACATATCACAGCACCCAAACGGCAAGAAATTAACAATCTGGCATCAGCTAACAAATTAAAAGAAATCTGGCCTCAGCTAAGAAATTAAAATCTGGCCTCAGCTAACAAATTAAAAGAAATCTGGCCTCAGCTAACAAGTGACAGAAAGAAAAAAAAAATAAAGAAAGGCATCACCCGCGGGGGACAACTGGCAGTTGTTATAGTGGTACTGAAGCAGAGGTGGTCCGGATCTGCGCAGAGAGGGAGAGGGACGTCGCGCGCTGGCTGAGTTGCGCAGACGGCGAGGCTGGCGGCGGACTGTCGTCGCGCGAGGCGATGGGCGAGATCGCGCGAGGCTGGGCTGAGTCGCGGTGGCGGCGCGCTGGGCGGCGGACGCGCGAGCTGTTACAGGCGCGCGAGATGCGCGCTGGAGTTTCGCGCGGGCTGGTGCTGGATCTCGCGCTGGGGCGGCGCGCAGGGGCAGCGCGCAGGGCTGTGGGCAGACACGCGCGGTCTGCTGTGCGACTGGTGCTGAGGCTGCGCGTGCGGTGGTGCTCCTGGCCGCCGGCTGCTGTGTCGCGCAGATGGCGAGG